ATTTTGTTTTATTTTATTTTATTTTTTATTTTATTTTATTGGTATAGATCCACACCTGGCTACAGAAAATGTAATACTTAAATTTAAATACTTAATGAACTTTAATACTTAATGATCTGGATAATGGTAGTTAGATAAATTCTTAAACATTTTCAATGCAAGCCATAGAAAAAGAGTAACATCTGATCTCTAAGCTGCCTCCATGTCTGGTGGACATCTGAAGAGAGGCAACGAGGAGGGGGTGCGGAGAAAATAGCACAAATCACAGTGGCAGAGTATGGCTGAGCCTCTAAATCTGATGTGTCACAGATAGCGCCAGGCCTGAAGCCCTTCAGCTCTACACAGCTGATTTCATGTGGAATGAACTCTGAGATTCCAGAGGTTGTTTATGTCCCAGCTCTGTTGCTTATCAGGTTAAAATTATAGCCCCCATTCCAACCCCATGTGCATGTATCCACCCCTCCTCCTCTCCCGTCACCCCTCCTCCTTCAGCAACATGGCACCTGTTGTGAAGCCACACGCTATTTTTGGACCCTCTAAATATGGACAAGCTATTTCTTAGTCTTGCCACGTACACTCTGATGTCAATGGTGGCAGTTTTACGCAAAGTGGAAAAACAATGACTATTCTAAACATCGGTTTACATCTAAACAACAGGCTAAGAGTGAAGCACATAAGACAAACTTTAGGACAAATGATGAAACTGGCTACAAATTTGAATGTAAAACAACAGAATTATTGGAATTAGCATTGGAATTAGCTTTGTCTTCATATTACTTGATCACAAAAATGAAACCACACACTATAATGACTTAAACAAAACACACAGTCAAAAAAATCCACCCAACTCAAATGCTTCTCAAAGACACACTGGCGACATTCAGCTCAGCATCAACTAAAAAGTTAAATACAATAGTACAGCTCAAGACTTACCCACACGTGTCTGTTCGGGTTCGAATAGAAAAGGAGGACAATGAACCAGTCAGTCCACAGTTTTATCAGAGTGAAAGAGAGAAGTGAGGAGGGTCCAGAAGGACTCAAGACAACAGCTGACAGCACGAGACCCTCAAAATAACCTCCAGTGGAACACCAGTGGAAACGTTGTGCAAACACTCTGAATGAATCGGCCTGTCAAGATCTTTCTACTCAGGCTTTTCAGGATGACAGCTGAGGAGCTAATTTTGTAGTATCCTTTGAAAGGCTTCAGACTTGTTATCACAGATAGATCTACTAATCCAAAATTCATTCTGGGTTAGCACTGGTATAGTTGATTAGAAGTAAAAACTAAATATTGATAGGTTTTTACCCCTATAAAGCCTCAGATATTAAATGATAGTCAGATTTTTTTTAATGGAACAGTTTGTTGAACCTTTAGACAAAATATAAATGAAAATCTAAATAAGGTTTACGTATGTGTTTTTTGTTAAGTATGATGTAGTGAGAATATGAAGCTCATACTTGAGGAGGGAAACAAATCTGTTTTATTCACAGGCCCAAATTTTTTTGAAAATTTCAATTTTGATAGCTTGTAATATAATCAATGAGATATTTACAGTAGTATAGCAGACTACTTATATAAAATGCATGTAAATATCAGTTGTCAGTTTTATCAGTAAATATCAGTTTTCTAAAAAGTCATGTATGGATAATTAAGTTGCTTAAGTCCAGTAAATGTTCATCTTAAAATATTGCTAACAGTATAGAAGTTATTCCTGTTTACTTTATAAACAGTAAAGATTTCACAGCAAAAATCACACATGTACCGCAACCTGAAGGTGACAGAAGGTATGTAGTAGATTGTGTACAACTGTTTTTTTGTGTGTGTACATTTAGACCTTTTAGAAATTTGCATACTAAATATGATACACTTGGCTTTATAGGGTTAACATGCAAATCTGGGCGGCTCTCGGAGTTATTGACTTGTGTACTGAATGCCTGAGGACCAATTTCTTGTAACAATCTGCTTAGTATTGGGTTCTCACAGCTCCTATTAGCATTTATTATCACATTTGTCCACCATAATTCCAGTCAATTGCACTCTAATCACTTCAAATCATGCAAATGGAGAATTGTGAAGTGATTAGCATCTCCAGTGCAACTCACTCCATAACAGCGTTTTTGTCTGCACATTTCTAAATATTTACAAATATTTGGCATGCAACTGCGAAACACGGCCACCCACCCATTCATCAAACAATATCATGGGGTCTTAAATGTGTGACCTATGTAGTGCGGTTTTACACACTGATATCAGCAAATTTGGCCATCGGAATCATTACTTTGCTATTTGCAATAGCTCTTACTAAAAGCACAAATGAGTCTAAAGTGTTTCAGGGTCATGCTGAGGATTTGTATAGAGTGGTGGGCGATAGTTTTTACCACGGGTCGTCTCTCTGATAATCCTCACCCTTTTTGGCTTTTATAAGGGAATCTGTTTAATCACCAGATAGAAATGATTCTGACATTGGCTCCAGGCTTAATTGTTTCTCTCAGCCCCTGCATCTCAATTAATGATTGTAACGTCCTTGTTCTTTGAGAGTCTCTTGCTTGGGTGTTTTGATAAATGTCTCTTTAACCTTGAGTCATGTTTCGTAGGAACTGTCAGCCTGTTACAGTGCTGGCGAGGCAAGGACTTGACCAATGTTTCTGGCCTTGTAAGTTTTGAGGTTATAGGCACAGATGAACTGGTAAGAATGAGCGATACTGCTCCAAACTGCTCATTTCCTGTTTTCCATGGCATAGGACTCTTTTGACAAAGTCATAACAGAATCTCGCACTGTTTTTGTTTTTTTATTTCGTTTTGGCTTGAGAGCTCTTCTAAATGAGCTGCTGACTCATGCAGTCAAATTAAGTCAGATCTGTCCACGTCTCCTCCTGCCTCGCTCTCCTTTCTTTCCAGGTGCTGTCAAAAGCACTCTGATCCTTGGACTGTGTTGCAGAGACAGGGACGTCCATATATCCTGCATATAATTTGCTCTGTCACACATTGTATTTAATGGTTGATAATGAGGCTTGCTATATTCTAAAATGTCTGCCATTTGTCATTTTTAAATTGTAGACTTGTTGTTAACGTTGATAGCAGATGGTGAAAAATTAAAATGAGATGGTTATTTGAATCATATTTAACTTTCTTAACTGTCACAAAATTATTGTTTTTTTTTCTTTTTCTCCCACTAAAAATATCAAAATATATTTTAAAGAGGAATTTACTTGAGAAGAAAGACTGCATAATATTATATATATATATATATATATATATATAT